GCAAACCATAATTTAAATGCCAACAAAAGAACGAGAAAAAAAACTAATAAGTACAAACACCTTTATTACTAAGATACTAAATTGGGGGGGGCGCGTAGGTAGGAAAATTCCTGAAGAAGTAGCACTTGAAACCGGATTCTTGTTTGCTTGGCTCATGGCCGACTCTCCTCCCTCCCCCCTCTCTCTATATTTTTTCTCTCTCTATCTCTCTTATTCTCTCTCTCTCCTTGTTTTCTCTCTCTTTCTATTTCTCTTTCTCTCATTCTCTCTCTCCGTCTTTCTCTTCTCACTCCCTCTCTCTTTCTCTCTTTCTCTCCTTGTTTTTTCTCTCTTTCTCTCTCCTTCTTTCTCTTCTTCTCACTCCCTCCCTCTCTCTCTCTTGCTGTCTCTCACTCTCTTCATCAACATACTTGTTTTCTGTCCCCTCTCTATTTTGTCTCATGTTTGCTTCCGCCGTTCAGCAAGCAGTCGCTCAGCGAAGGACTGCTCTGTTTGGAGCGCCTGGTGAGCTCCTGTCGCAGAGCAACGTCCTTCCGCGTCAGCTTCTTCTTCGGTGGAACTCGCCCCCCCCCCCCACCCTTTGAACCCTCGCCTGTTTGGAATTCTAAATCAAAAGGAAAACATTTTGCGCGGAAAGGAAAAGCACATTTTTTTTAATGTAATTTATTTCACAAAAATATGAATGTCATCCCTTCGTCATCACATGACTTGCTAATATCGCTTATGCGTTGAATGGTCTGCGCTTCTGACCGGGCTGACTGACGCGGCAGTTTTGCTCCAGAGACCGGTAGCATACCTGCGCCTCATCCTTTGATAATTTGTACAAATGACATTTCTTTCCGAAAAATTCTGCATACTTGAAAAATACCAAACTCATGTTATCATACGATCAAGTATCATAGATTATTCTTTTCTAGAAACGCTCCCGCGGCCCGCCAGGTAGTTGGTGCCGGTCCAAAGAAAATGGTGAGGCGCCGCGGCAAAAAACCCGCGCTGGCTTGGCTCAGTCTGCCTCCCCGGCCATTGCGCGCACACGGCCTCCGCAAAATCGCCCGAATTCCCTTCTCGCAGGAAAGAGTACGCGTCTGCCCAGCCATCCATCCTCTCCTGAAGCTGCGCAGGAGGCTCTCGTGCAGGCGATGCAGCCGAAGCACCAGGGCAGGCGGAGCGGACGGAAGACTGCGCTACGTCAGATGGTCAGGCAGCTGGGGTCAGCGGCCTCGGAGGCTCTGCCGCTGCGGACGGAGAGCGGGAGGCAGCAGCTCTTCCGCGGCAACACCTCCTTCCTCTCCCTTTCTTCCTTCCTAATCATCTGCGTCTTCCTCTCCTCCTGCTTCTCCCTCTTCTGCTCCTCCTCCGTCTTTTGTTCATCACCGTCATAATCACTATCATTATCTTCTTCCATTTTTCCTACTTCGTCTCCTTCTTGTCCTCATCTTTATTCACTTATTCTTCTTATTCTTATTCTTCTCCTTCTCCTCTTCCTTCTTCTTCGTTTAATAGTAATTCTTTCCCCTCCTTCTTTTTCTTACCCATCTTCTTCTCGTTTCTTTTTCTTCTTCCTTATCATCAGTACTATTATCACTATTATTCTCCTTCTCCTTCTTCCCATTCTCCTCCCCTTCCTGCTTCCCCTTCTTTTTATTACAATTATTCTCCTCCTTCTTTTTCTTCTTCCTATTTTTTTCTTCCTGATTATTATTATTATTATTATCATTATCATTATTATTACCATTCTTCTTCTTCTTCTTATCATTATTTTGTTGTTATCATTATTATTATTATTATCATTATTATTACTGAAATGCCTCTTGTAATTTTCCCTCTCCTTATTCTTTATCTTATTTTCCTAGTTCCAATTCTCCTTCTCCCTCTCCTCCTCATTCTTCTTCTAATTCTTCAAATTCTTCTTCACAATTCTTATTCTCCTTCTCCTTCATCTCTTTCTTCTTTCGTTCTTAAGATCTAAAGGCTGGCATGTCAATCAAAGAATCCTTCTGGTGGATGTGGCGACGACAGTCCTCGCAACACAAGTTCTTCCAGACGCTGCGGTTTTGTCTCAGATGTTCATGCACACCAACTGGGCCACAAGGAAGGGAGAGACCGGGATGGAGAAAAAGGTAGAGAGAGAGAGAAGGAAGAGAGAGAGAGAGAGAGAGAGAGAGAGAGAGAGAGAGAGAGAGAGAGAGAGAGAGAGAGAGAGAGAGAGAGAGAGAGAGAGAGAGAGAGAGAGAGAGAGGAGGAGGGAGAGAGGGAGAGGAGAGAGAGAGAGGAGAGAGAGAGAGAGAGAGAGAGAGAGAGAGAGAGAGAGAGAGAGAGAGAGAGAGAGAGAGAGAGAGAGAGAGAGAGAGAGAGAGAGAGAGAGAGAGAGAGAGAGAGAGAGAGAGAGAGAGAGAAGAGAGAGAGGAGAGAGAGAGAG